AACTTCTTGACCTGTATGTGATTGTAATAAGGTGGAGGCTACAATTTCTTAGAAAGAAGGCAAAATTTTTAGAACATGAAATATTTTGAACCAATAAGAGATACTTAAATTATGTGTTGTGACATATTAACAAAACTTTTATCAAGTTGAATACTTGATATATTAAAAAATACATAATTAAAAGTGTTCGAATATTACTTTTGAAATTCACTTGATAGAAATATTTCAGCATTATGTACCTTCTATTGATAATAATATTGATTGAATAGGCTCACCATTCATTGGTTTGAGCTTGTAGATTTTCTCTTCAATTACTATGCAAGTTATCGCACAATGTTCATCTTCTAACCATCTTAAGGAAGACATAGATTGATCTAATTTCTATATAACTTTTGCAAAACACTACTCTCATTTGACAAAAACTTCTTATAAATACATGCAAATCTTTAATTTTTGTGCAGCTTATCACACTAATTATAATGTTTTCAAAGTTCTTGTACTAATTAAGCATGAGATACATGGGCAACATACATGTTCAAGCATATATATATATCGTCATAACAACTCCACATAATTTAGCATGGGACACACGTGCAACGTACGTGTCCAGGACTAGTTCTAAAAAAACATCAAGTAGTCATTTGTGTGAAACTGGAAGGGAAATACTTTGTTAAAAGTTAGAGAGAATGTCTGGACTGATCTTTAAGTACCTGGCAAGCAAGTGGAAAATTCCGAAAAGCAACAATTACTTTTCCTTTTTTTCTTCTTTATTGTCTGCCATTACAAGAAAGCATATATTTTGGGAAAGTCGTAACATGAGTTTGAGTGAAGGAATATATAGAATCAGATATGTTCACTACTTTAATATGTTAGCTAATCAACACTCTCACTCTAAAGATATTAGTTTGACCGCACTCTCAACATGAATGCACAGCTTATAAATCTCTGTGAATTTGTTGCTTGGAATAGAACAATCAAATTCTCCATTACCTCTCCTCTCATATTTCATTTTCATTCCAAATTCTTCATTTCCGCTCTCTGATATTTCGTTTTCATACCAAATTCTACATCGTTGCTCTTTTAACTTTCATTTTCACACCTTCCAGTAACTAAGAAAACCAGTCAAAAAGAGGGAATTTGAAAGCAAAAAAAAAAAACCAATAGCAGAGTTCAGACTTGAGTGTTGAAAAAAGGCTTATTACTAAACTATACTGGCGATGGAATTCTTATCTATTTTTGTGGAAAAAGGCACAGATTGCTTGATGCAGCCAGTCGTGCGAGGGATTGGGTATTTATATTACTACAAGAGCAACATCAGATGTATGGATAAAGAATCTGAGAAGCTGAAGAACATCAAAAGTGAGGTGGAGGAAAGAGTGGAAGTTGCCCGGAGAAACTTAAAACGCATTTCACGCAATGGCGAGACTTGGTTAACTAGTGTTGATACCACTACTGAACATGTGGAAGCTGTAAGGCAAGGTACAGCTGAGGTTGAAAGGGGTTGCTTTTATGGTTGGTGTCCAAACCTGAAGTCACGTTACTCGATGAGCAGGAAAGCTAAAAAAATTACACTGGAGTTGATTCAACTTCAAAATGAAAGCAACAGGCCTGATGTAATCTCCTTTGATCACCCAGTTCAAAGTGAGGCTATACCTAGTAACTATGGTGAGGTGTTTGACTCCAGAAAATTGAAAGAGGAAGAGGTCATGGCAGTTTTGAGAGATGACGGGGTCACTATGATTGGGATATGTGGTTTGGGAGGTGTTGGTAAGACAACACTGGCTGACAAAATCAGACAAAAGGTGAAACAAGAAAGGTTGTTCAAAGATGTCGTCATGGTAACTGTCAGTCAACAACCAGATTTGAAAAAAGTTCAGGGTGAGATTGCAGAAGGACTCGGGCTGAAATTAGAAGGGGATAATTTGTGGAGTCGTGGAGATCGGCTGCGTACAAGGTTAATGGATCAGAACAGCCACACCCTTGTAATCTTGGATGATGTTTGGGAGGCCCTTCATGATCTAGACAAACTTGGAATTCCCAGCGGTAGCAACCACAACCATCGGTGCAAAGTGATATTGACGACGCGATCCCGAAATGTTTGTGAAGTAATGGAAGCTAAGAAGATCATTGAAGTTGGAACATTATCTGAAGAGGAAGCATGGTGCCTTTTCAAGGAGAAAGCTGGTGATTCAGTTGACGTTCCTTCTATTCATGGCACAGCAAAAGAGGTCGCCAAAGAATGCAAGGGGCTGCCGCTTGCAATTATTATAGTTGCAGGAGCACTTAAGCGTAAAACCAAGCCTTCGTGGGAGGATGCCCTTAGACAATTACGTCGTGCAGAAGCAAGAAATATCCCTGGAGTGCATGAAAAGGTGTATGAATCTCTGAGGCTAAGCTATGATCACTTGGGAGAAAATGAAGCAAAGTACCTCTTTTTGCTTTGTTCTTTATTCGAGGAAGATAGTAATATTTGGACCGAAGAATTGCATTTATTTGGAATGGGGCTTGGCATCTTTTCGGGAATTGAAAATTTAGAAGATGCAAGAAATAGGTTGTGTCTTCTGTTAGAAATATTGAAAGATGGTTTCTTGTTATCCCAAGGTTCAGACAAAAATCATGTGAAAATGCATGATGTGGTCCGTGATGTGGCTATAAGTATTGCGTCTGAAGGAGAGCATAACTTTATGGTAAGTCACAATGTTAACTCGGAACAGTTCCCAAGTAGAACTTCTTATGAGCATTTCAGTCACATGTCAATTGTTGCAAATAAATTTGATGAGCATCCTAGACCAATAATTTGCACAAAACTGAAGCTTTTAATGTTGAAACTCCGTTTTAAAGATCCATTCAAACTACAGGACAAATTTTTTGATGAAATGAGTAACCTCAATGTCTTGAGCCTGAGGGGACACAGCTATGAGCAGTCCATTATACGTTTTCCAGCATCCATTCGGAGTTTGTCAAGTTTGAGGACTCTGTGTCTGAGTAATTTAAGGTTGCATGACATATCCTTCATTGGGGAACTTGTCGAATTAAAAATTCTCAGCATAAGAAATTGTGAGTTAGATGAGCTGCCAGAGGAGATAGGAAAATTGACCAAGCTAATTAGGTTAGAGTTTTGGAATGAGTGTATAACACTTAAAAGGATTTCAGCAGGGGTCTTATCAAAAATAGCTCAATTGGAGGAATTACATATGCTGGGAGTAAAAGATTTGAGTGATGTGATCTACAGTAACCTTGGCCTTCCCTCCAAGTTGACACGGTACACTTTTGTTATGGTTGTAGCTTACCCTGGGATTTCAAGCATTTATGACTACGACAAGAGTATTCGTTTAGATGTCACGGAGACTGCCCCATTGGGTGATTGGATCTGCCAACTGTTGAAGGAGAGCGAATTTGTATATTCATACGGAGAGGGCTCTAATAATGTGTTGACGGAGTTGCAGCTGAATGAATTTCAGAATGTGAAATGTCTCGGCCTCAATGATTGTGATTCAATGACACATTTATTGAAGACAACACATGAAGTAATCAAGTTCCCCAATTTATATGAGTTGAGCATTCTGCTTATGCATTGCCTGACTCACTTTTGCAGTGACAATGTTGAGCGCATTGAGTTCCCTCAGTTACGGAAAATGTACTTATCGAAGTTACCTGCGTTCCAGAATTTCAGGCCTACAGCCAACAACTCAAATCCTCTTTTTGATGAAAAGGTTTGCTTCTTATGACCAAAATGTTATCTTTTATTTGAGCATTAAAGATATTTACTTAAACAAAGTCTATTGCTCAGATATATCCTTTTTGTCTAACTAGTAAAAAAATAATTTTAAATTAATTTTTTTAATTTGTTATTTAAAAAATCCATGTAAGGCTATATTTGATATGATTTTTGTGACTTTTTTTATTCAACGGTTAATTTAAGTTTTAAATATCTCCCTTATAAATATATTAACTTATCATTATTTGAGTTTCATATTCTCATTTCATCTTTTTAGTGTGAAAATAAATAGATATGGAAAAGGAGAAAAAAGGAAGAACAAATTTTAAGACTATTTTTTTTTTTTTTGCAGCTATATTGTAATTTATTTTTTGAAAAAAGGTCAATAATACCTTACTGACCTAAAATGATAAAAAATGCCCTCAATTTATAGTTTAGTCCAAAAATGTTCTTGCCCTCACTACTTTAGTAAGAAAATGTTCTTGCCATTGATAGTTTGTTCTGGAAATGTTCCTATTGTTACTACTTGAGTCAAAAATATTTCTTTCCGCATAAATATATTATTTCTTTTCTTTTTGAACAAATCTTATTCCTATTAAAAGATATTACTTTTAAAGTACTCTATTATTGTTTTCTTTATTTTAAAATTACTTTAACTATTAAAAATGTACCCTTTATACTGATAATATATATCTTATATATAAGATCATAGTAAATCAACCTTTAATTTTTATTTTGATATTTATAATAAAATAAGAAATCCTTTTAGTATTATTTTTTTCCAATTGAAGTAGAATTAACATTTGCTAATAAAAAAAATATCATTAGGAAAAGAATGTGTATGTTCAAAAAGAAAATAAATAATATATTTATTTGTTAATCAAATTGGTGCATATATACATCTACCGTCTAATTTATGGTGCATATTTATCATTTTCGTTAAAACATTTATATTTATTTAATTAAAAAGTATATAATAGTAATTTTTTAATTTAAAAAATGTCGCGTGATTTTCAAAGTTATCTCTACCGCTCTAGACTCAGCCCAAATGGAAAAAAATATTAATGTATTTGATATACAAAAAAACTTTTTTAAATATGAAACAAGATCATATACAATTTATATATATATATATATATATATATATATATATATATATATGTGTGTGTGTGTGTGTGGCTTTTTAAAAATATATAAATAAATGTGTGTAATCACTTTTGGCTTCTCCACTCAATAGCTCCAACTGTATCTGCAACAAAGTTTGATACTTGAATATTTGCAGGTTTCTTGTCCCAACCTGAAATACCTATACGTGCATTGGGCTAACATAAGTGCTCTATGCTATCACCAACTTCCAACTGACTACTTCACCAAACTTCAAACATTGGAAGTATTAGATTGTGGAAAATTGAGAAACTTGATTTCTCCATCAGTGGCCAGAGGTCTTTTGAATCTCCAAAAGCTACATATACTTCGTTGTGAATCAATTGAAGAAGTGATCACAGAAGAGGAAGAACAAGGAGAAGGAATCATGATCTTATTTCCCCGTTTGGAATACCTGAGTCTCGCCGATCTGCCTAGGCTGGGGCATTTCTTTCTGACAAACCATGCCCTTGAATTTCCATTTCTAAGATATGTGGGAATTGAAGACTGCCCTGAAATGAAGACGTTTGTTCAACAGGGAATATCTGTGAGTACACCGATTCTCAAAAGTCGTGATGAGGTGAAAGTAGATGATCTCAATAAATGGATACAGCAGAAGTTCAATAACAAGGTATGTCTTATTCCGCTAGCTATACAAGTAATTGCTACATGATATTCTAATTAGGCTCTACTGCTCTCTTTCCGTTTTAGATAGTTCATCAACTTTCTTTTACTTAATAATCTAGTCATCTCTCTCTTCTTTGCATTCTCTGTTTCCCGCAGAAACAAGAAGCTAGTGATGACGACGAAGCTAGTGATGACTATGAAGCTAGTGATGACGACGAAGCTGAACCTAGTCATGCCAGAAGTTAGGAAGCTGGTAGGAAAAACTCAATGAAATAATGCAAGTAAAACCTCGAACATGTATGTTTTCTTGATTATGTACACAAACAGTGAAAATCGTGTAGTTTCACAATCCAAATGTAACGTTTACATATTATGATTACAGTATATGAATATTTAACTTCTTACAAGACATGCCTAAATTTCCAAGAATTTGAAAAATAACAAAAAGTTATTTTCACTTCAATAGAAGAGAAGAAGGACTTCATCATGACTCACTTAATCAATTGGAGAGAAAATTCCAAAAGCAAACATATACTTTTACTTTTTAACATTTCTTTGTCTGCCATATGGAATCAGATTTTTTGAAATGTTATCTAATCAAACACTCCCACTTTAATAATGCTCTCATTTTGAAAGGCCTTTTTTTTCTTTTCTTTTTGGACATCTGATATCCGGTATTTAAATACACTATAATTTATGTTTAATTCTTTTTATTGAATTAAAGTTAGATCAAACAGTTACTTAAATGGAGCTTTGTTATAATTTATTATGTGATTTTTGTCACGCCCCGAGCCTACACCCTGGGCGGGACCGGCACCCGGAGACCATTTCTGGCCCTAAGCGAACCCTTGACCTGGCTTTCTTAACTCAGCGGAAACCTAACTCAACAGAATAACTCAAAGCAATGCAATATTACAAAACAACTTAACTTATAAAATATGGCCGTAAAGGCAACCCGAATCTCAAAATAGAATATTTACATATATATATAAGAGACTCAAACTAGCTGACTGACTGTCTGTCTATGAAACCTCTAAAATACTGAGATGGATGTTGGGACAGACCCCGCAACATCCTAATAAAACCAAAAAAAACTAAGAACACGAAATAATTGAGTCCTCCGGAATGCAAGGAGGCTCACCACTGACTCTGGAGTACTCAGCTGGATCAACGACGTGCCGGATGCTGATCTGGGGTACCTGAATCTGCATCATCAAACGATGCAGGCCAACTGGCATCAGTACGTGGAATGTACGAGTATGCGAGCTAGAAATAACTAAGCAACAACGGCTAGAAGTAAAATCTGGAAGAAACTGAATAGCTTACCTAGCTCAACTCAACTCAACCTGACTGACTTCTTTCAATATAAGGCAATTTAAAACAAGTGCGATATAAAGAAAGACTGTTTAAAACATGCTATAAACTCTGTGTGTATACAAGGATACAATAAGCTGAAATGTATATAGAAATACAATGAACTGATATATATAAAAGTACAATAATCTCTGTGTATGAAAATACAATAACTGCTGTGGGAGTTTCTCTAACCGACAACCATCACATAAGAGCTATAGTGATGATACAGCGATCGACCTCACGCTGCCAGAGCATCTTATACCCGGCCAAAGGTATAAGACCTGAACTGCCTAATGGATCCACTAGTCTAATCTGAAAAGGATTCATCTAAAAAGCATGATCCTTTTCTACCCATGGTGGCTAACATGGTTCTATGGGGGCTGTGGGTTCTTTGAACGCTCCCCCAATTCGGTGCTCGATACTACTCCCAAAAATGTACTGGCTCTTATGTTTTTAAAACATATTTATTTCTGCTGATATGAGATAATTACTCAAAAACTAGCCCGAAGGCCCCTTTGGAAATCTCAATTTCCAACCTTATTTAAATGTAAAGACATTTCTTTAAAACTTCTTTGGGAATACATAGTTCCCTAATAACTTTGAGAAACGAACTCAACTTTAAACTCATGACTTAACTTGAACTTGAGACTCTTACTCGACTTGAAACTTGAGACTCTTACTTAGCTTGAAACTCGTTACTCCTTTACTTGACTCCTAACTTTACTTGACTTGGAACTATCTTTCCTTGAATCGGAATTATGAATTCAATGTGTTCGATCACATGTTATGGAGGGATTCTTGAACACTTAGACGTACTTTGGAGTGTCGGAAACAACTGTAAAACATAGGTATAATACTTTGGAACATGCATGAGAAAGGGAGAAAAGAAATGGGGAAACTTGGCTGAGACTTCAGATTTCTAGTGACACAGATGGCACTTACGGGCGCCATCGACGAACCGTAGATGGACTTACGGTCCGTCCTGCAGGTCCGTAGATCGCGTCAGAGACTTCCCCGGAATTCAGTTAAAAAGAATGACTAAGTGTTGACCTACGGTCCGGACTTACGGTCCGTAGGTCAGGTTACGGACCGTAGGTCATGCCCGTAGATCGATGCCCCAAAAACCCAACTTCTGTCCCGATTGACAGTTGACCAGTACGGACCGTCAATCGATCTACGGTCCATAAGTCACGTCCGTAGATGGGAATCGATAGCCAAAATTTGCTGAAGATTGATGGTGAATCAACTTCAAAAGGGTCATAACTCTTAAAATCATAATTCCCTCAACATACAATAGGTCTCAACTTAAATACACAACCCAATCATGTCTCACAATGAACAATAACTTCAACAACACCACCAACAACATCAACAACAACTAACAACTTCAACAACAAATTCCAATCTTTTCTCAAATCATAGAATGAGCTTGGTGTGTGTGAGGGAAAGGATCAACCCACACAAAAACTCACATACCTTGATAGGGATCACCCCCGACGAAAATCCACAATGATCTTGTTGATCTCCTCTTTCTTCTCTTCTTCTTCTTCTCCTTCTTCTCCTTCTTCTCTTCTTCAATCTCAAGAACCCTAACTCTTTCTCTTTCAAAATGGGAAAAAAAGGTCCAAAGATCAGCCTAATACAACATTATGAGCTCAAAAGAAATGATTTGTGAAAAGACCAAAATGCCCTTAATTTTCCGGACGGATTTCCCTTCCAACTGCCCAACTTCTAAAGGGCATAACTCCCTCATACGAACTCGGAATCGAGCAAACTCGGTGGCGTTGGAAAGATCGTTCCAAGGGCTTTCTAAACATAATTGGAACTACTCCTGGATCATCCTGAGCTAGGAGTTATGACTGCTCAAAGTTGGCCAAAAACTCACTGATTTCCACACTTAGCCAAATTTCTAGATTTTTAAATCATTTCCTTTTGTCATCATTTTTTTCCAAAAATGACTATTTCCAAATTTCAAGCTTCTTCAAAGCCACTTCAAATTGTCGGATGTTACAATATCTCCCCCTTGGGAACATTCGTCCTCGAATGCAGTAATTCTTATAAGGCTAAGGGTGCAACAACAACTCAACCACCCAACAAGCAACTATGCAAACACAACAACAACAACAACAACATGCTCATTATAATTAAAATAGCACTAAGAAGGAAATTAATACCTTGATCTGCGGATTCAAAGAGATATGGATATCTCTTCTTCATGTCTTCTTCGGCTTCCCAAGTAGCTTCCTCAACAAATTGGTTCCTCCAAAGGACCTTAACTGAGGCTACATCTTTCGTTCTCAACCTACGAACTTGCCGATCTAAAATTTGAACAGGAATCTCCTCATAAGATAAGTTATCCTTGATCCTTATACTTTCAGTCGGTAGGATCAATGAAGGATCGCCTATGCACTTCTTCAACATGGAGATGTGAAATACCGGATGAACCGCTGCTAGTTCCTGTGGTAACTCCAACTCATAAGCAACATTGTCAATCCTCTTGGCTATGCGGTAAGGTCCAATATACCGGCGACTAAGTTTCCCCTTCTTACCAAACCTCATAACGCCTTTCATGGGTGAAACCTTCAAATATACCCAATCATCTACTTCAAACCCTAACGCCCTTCTTCTAACATCAGTGTAGGATTTCTGACGACTCTATGCCGTTTTCAACCTCTCTTGAATCACTTTCACTTTCTCCATAGCTTGGTGAACTAAATCTGGTCCTATCAACTGTGCTTCACCAACTTCAAACCATCCAATAGGAGATCTACATCTTCTCCCATAAAGAGCTTCATATGGAGCCATCTGGATGCTAGAGTGATAACTGTTGTTGTAGGCAAACTCAATGAGAGGTAGGTGATCATCCCAACTCCCTTTGAAATCGATTACACAAGCCCTCAACATATCCTCTAAGGTCTGAATAGTGCGCTCTGCTTGCCTATCAGTTTGAGGGTGAAAGGCAGTACTTAAGTTCACCTTTGAACCCAAGCCTTTCTGAAAAGATTTCCAGAACTGTGCAGTAAACTGTGCACTTCTATTTGAAATAATGGAGATTGGGACTCCATGAAGTCTCACTATCTCTTGAACATAAAACTTGGCATAATCTTCTGTTGTATTGGTAGTCTTTACCGGTAGAAAATGAGCTGACTTTGTCATTCGGTCGACAATTACCCAAATAGAATCATGTTGTCTGGGAGATCTTGGCAATCCTGTGATAAAATCCATATTGATCATCTCCCACTTCCACTCTGGAAGTTCTATCCTCTGAGCCAAACCACCGGGCCTTTGGTGTTCAACTTTCATTTGTTGGCAATTTGGACACTTAGCAACAAACTCAGCAATGCCCTTCTTCATGCCATTCCACCAATAAACTTCACGCAAATCACGATACATCTTGGTGGAACCTGGATGAACGGAATATCTGGAGCTATGAGCTTCCTCCATAATCTTCTCTTGAAGTCCATCTACCATAGGTACACACATTCTACCTTGATATCACAATACACCATCTCCCCTTTGTTCAAAAGCTAATACTCTTTGCTTCTGAACATTTGCCTTCAACTCAAGCAAAATGGGATCTTGATCTTGCTTCTCTTTCACTTCTGACATTAATGATGACTCGGCCCTGCTCGTCACCGCTATTCCTCCTTCTGCGGAATCTGTAAATCTGACTCCCAGGCATGCCAGTCTGTGCACATCTTTTGCTAACTCTCTCCTTCCTTCTTCAATATGGGCGGTGCTACCCATAGACAACCTGCTCAAAGAATCAGCAACAATATTAGCCTTACTGCTCAACTTTGCAATTTTGAGCAAATATACCTCTTGTTAATAAAATTGGTGCATATATACATCTACCGTCTAATATATGGGCATATTTATAATTTTCGTTAATAAATTTATATTTATTTATAAAATATAATTGTAATTTTTTAATTTAAAAAATGTCATATGCCTTTCAAAAATTATCTCTACCGCTATAGACTCGGCCCAAATGGAAAAAAAATACTAATTTATTTGAGATACTAAAAATCTTTTTTTAAATATGAAACGAGATCATATACAATCAAGGGCACTATTAATAAGGTAAGAAATAGTCCCCTTTCTTGTACTTTTTCTTTTGAGTTTCGTTTTTATTATGTATATAAAAAAACTAGCCCAAAAAACTTTCTTTCATTATATTTAACAGCTAATATTTATGTGGATTTATTTTCTCCGGTCATCTTGTATTTTAGTATGTCATTTTAAAGAATGCTATTTTGGAGATGCATTTTTTTTTGAGTAATTTGACCTTAAATAATTTCTTCCATATTTTGAAAAATGATGGTGTTGTTTCTCAAAAATGAAGTGTTAAAACTATAATAATTGCTTTATAATGTACTATTAATCAAACGGTCATGTTAAATATTAATCAACTTATGACCTAGTGTTTTCTTCCAATATATCTGCAACAAAGTTTGAAGTCTTCAACGTTTGCAAGTTTCTTGTCCCAACCTGGAAGTGCTATCTATATTTATTTGGCTTTCTAAAAATATATAAATAAATGTGTGTAAGCACTTTTGGCTTCTCCACTCAATAGCTCCAACTGTATCTGCAACAAAGTTTGATACTTCAAAGCTCGCAGGTTTCTTGTCCCAACCTGGAAGAGCTATCCATCAGCGGGCTTAACAACATAAGTGTTCTATGCTCTCACCAACTTCCAACTGACTACTTCACCAAACTTCAAGCATTGCAAGTATCATATTGTGGAAAATTGAGAAACTTGATGTCTCCATCAGTGGCCAAAGGTCTTCTGAATCTTCAACTGTTATGGATACAATACTGTCAATCAATGGAAGAAGTGATCACTAAAGGAGAAGGAATCATGACCTTATTTCCCCGATTGGAACATTTGACTCTTACCAATCTGCCTAAGCTGGGGCATTTCTTTATGACAGAGCACGCTCTTGAATTTCCATTTCTCAAGGAAGTGATTATTACTGACTGCCCTGAAATGAAGACGTTTGTCCAACACGGAATATATGTGAGTACACCGATTCTCAAATGTGATGATGAGGTGAAAGTAGATGATCTCAATAAATGGATACAACAGAGGTCAAATCCTCTTTTTGATGAAAAGGTTTGCTTCTTATCACCAAAATGTTACCTTTTACTTGAGCATTAAAGATGTTTACCTAAACAAAGTCTATTGCTTAGATATATCCTTTTTGTCTAACAAGTGAAAAAATAATTTTAAATTAATTTTTTAATTTGTTTTTTTAAAATCCATATAGGGCTATATTTGATGTGAATATTTGTGACTTCTTTTAATCAACTGTTAATTTAAATTTTAAATATATCCCTTATAGATCTATTGACTTATCATTATTCTTATTTCATTTTCTTAGTGTGAAAATAAATAGATATGGAGAAGAAGAAAAAAGTAAGAACAAATTTTTAGACTATTTCTTTTGTAGCTATATTGCAATTTATTTTTTGAAAATAGGTCAATAATGCCTTAAGTTACATGAAATGATAAAAAAAATCCCCTTAATTTATAGTTTAGTCCAAAAATATTCTTCCCCTCAATACTTTGGTCAGAAAATGTTCTTGCCGTTGATAGTTTGCTCTGAAAATGTTCCTATTGTTACTACTTGAAACAAAAATACTTCTTCCGCATAAATATATTATTTCTTTTCTTTTTTAACAAATCTTATTCTAATTAAAAGATATTATTTATTTTTTGACAAAAGGTCGATAATGCCTTAAATTACGTGAAATGATAAAAAATGACCTCAATTTATAGTTTAGTCCAAAAATATTCTTGTCCTCAATACTTTGGTCTAAAAATGTTCTTTTTGTTGGTAGTTTCTTCTGGAAATGTTCCTATTGTTACTAACTGAGTCTAATATATGGTGCATAATTTTCTTTTTCGTTAATAAATTTATATTTATTTAATTAAAATATATTATAATAGTGATTTAATAGAAAAATTACTTGAATGAGTGCCTTTTTAATAATAAGTACTGATTTTAGCGATACTTTTTATTTATTACCATTTATAGAAATACTATGTTAAATCTGCAATATGTATTAAAAGTGAATTAAGTATGTAATATATGTGTATTATAATTGATTTTAAAAATATATTATGTTTGTTTGGTAAGAAGTTGACACATTGTATTATGTATTAAAATGTGTGACAAATGTATTGTCCATCAATAAAACTTGTATTATATGTGAATAATAAATTGTTCTTTGTAATATATATTAAAACTTTATTATAAATGTATTAAAAATGATCAAGTGAAAAAAAATGTTATTGCTATAAATGATAAATATTTTTTATTTATAGTATATGTATGTAAGTTTCCTTTCTTTAAATTCAAAAATGTCATGCGGCTTTCAAAAAAATAGCTCTATCTGCAACAATGTTTGATACTTCAAAGCTCGTAGGTTTCTTGTCCCAACCTAGAAGAGATACACATCAGTGAGGCTGACAGCATAAGTGCTCTATGACCTATGACCTACATAAAGTCTATTTTACCTTTTACTATTTACTTACGTAAAGTCTATTTTACCTTATGACCTAGTGTTTTGTTCCAATGTATCTACAACAAAGTTTGATACTTGAACATTTGCAGGTTTCTTGTCCCAATCTGAAAGTGCTATATAGCATTGGGGCTAACTGCATAAGTGCTCTATGCTCTCACCAACTTCCAACTGACTACTTCACCAAACTTCAATCATTGGATGTATCGCATTGTGGAAAATTGAGAAACTTGATGTCTCCATCAGTGGCCAAAGGTCTTCTGAATCTCCAACTGTTATGGATACAACACTGTCAATCAATGGAAGAAGTGATAACTAAAGGAGAAGGAATCATGACCTTATTTCCCCGATTGGAACATTTGAATCTTACCAATCTGCCTAAGCTGGGGCATTTCTTTATGACAGAGCACGCTCTTGAATTTCCATTTCTCAAGATAGTGATTATTAATGACTGCCCTGAAATGAAGACGTTTGTCCAACACGGAATATCTGTGAGTACACCGATTCTCAAATGTGATGATGAGGTGAAACTAGATGATCTCAATAAATGGATACAGCAGAGGTTCAATAACAAGGTATGTCTTGTTCCGCTAGCTATATAACTTATTGCTACATGATATTCTAAGGTTCTATTACTGCTCTCTTTCCGTTTTAGATACTTCATCAACTTTCTTTTACTTAATAAGCTAGTCATCTCTCTCTCTTCTTTTGCATTCTCTGTTTCCTGCAGGAACAAGAAGCTAGTCATGGTGACGAAGATGAACCTAGAGGAAGTTCCAGTGGAGAAAGGAAAATTGATCCAATCTAATTTTGCTAAGAGTTTTTGAATAAGCATCGAGTACTTAAAAGGATTTCACCAGTGGTCTTATCAAGATTAGTTCGATTGGAGGAACTACATATCATGGGAGTAGAACATTGTAGTTACTCCACATCGAGGGATCTGAAATCCTTATCGTGTCAACTGCACTGACATTGTAGTTTGTAAAAGGTGTTCAGTGTGTGTAGTAATCTTGAAATGAAAACTTTGTTGCCTTTCTTCTGTTGGTTAGGCATAATTTTATAGATTTTTACCTTGTATAAATTTCTGTATTCGAATTATATAACGTAGTAACTAATTACCTTCAATGTTGTTCACTTCCAGGGCATACAATCGCACCCCATCTAATTTTATTATCAACCATCAATGTGCTCAAGTTTCCAAGACCTTGACCCTGGCGAATAGTCTGTTGCAAGCTCTTTTAATTATTCCCGTTCACCATACTAGTGGGTTTGTAACTTTAACGGAGTTAGGATTTAAGTTTATCAGTGTTGAATTCTAGAAAAGTAAGCGTAGCTTCTGGATAAATTGTTTATACATATTAAGTGAATTTTTAAATACAAATACATGACAAAACCCGTAGACAGGGTTGTAGCTCCGCCCCTGATGCCCCAGTGAACAACTTAATGAACTATATACACAAATAGCTAAACAAACTATCTAAATCGCCTTCATCATCAACAACAATTCCCCATTCTACATAAAACATAATTCATTCCCAGTTATATTATGATTTCGGATAAATAAAAAGACCTCCAGAATTCAATAAAAAAATCATGACGATATGCAGCAGCCACCACTATTCCCACCAGAATCTGTGTCCTATCCAGGAGCAATTATCCTGGTTCCCTTTAAAGATTGTGGCATCCCATAATCAGCTCCCGGAGCTGCAATAAGCGTATTCTTGCTAATGCTTTTATAAATTTCTGTTAAAACTGTCATGAATGCACCCTCGACGTTTGTGGATTGAAGAGCTGATGTTTCCATAAATAAGAGATTTTCCCTTTCTGCAAATTCTTGAGCATCTTCAACTGGTACAGCTCGAAGACTTCCTAGATCACATTAGTTCGCGATGAGCATTATAACTATGTTCTTGTCCGCGTGACCTCTTAGTTCCTCCAGCCATGTAGCCATATGATAGAATGATTGGCGTTTTGTTAAGTCATAGACTAGCATCGCGCCAACTGCACCTCGATATTATGCACTTGTTACTGCTCTATACCTGAGAGAGAAATGAGAGATGATTCATTGAGTTACAACAATTATCAAATTGGCTATGTTGCTGTAACTCTCCAAAAGCAGATCCTTCAAAAGTAGAGCATTTTGGAGGATCCCAACAACATTTTTCCCAAGAGTCCGAGCAACATAGCTTAACAGAAGGTAAATGTTTACATATAAAAATGGGATATAGGGAGGATAAGATGTATGCAGACCATACCCCTACCTTTGCTGGGTAGAGAGGTTGTTTCCAACGGACCCTCGATTCAAAAGAGATGAATTGTAAGTCAAGAAGAAACATACATATTGAATTCTAAATCGCGATATAAACCACTCTTTAAGAAGATTTATCACAAAAACAAGAACGTCGTCTGAAATATCTCAAACAAGTTGGGATCAGCAATATGAATTCTAACTAATAACCATGTCGTTCCATTTAGGTTCATCTCGGACCAATACTACACGAAATAAAATATAAAAAGCACTAGGATTTCTCTATAATTTTTCTTATACCTTTGACAAAACTAGACAATTCCAAGAAATAGTAAACGTACTAACTCCCACAACGCCTCAATCCCAAGCAAGTTAGGGTCGGCTAACTAAATCTTCACTAACCAGGTCGAAGACATTATAACCTGAAAAAATTCCCCTTCAACCCAAAATTTGTAGGAATGTATCTTCCAAATCTCCGGATTTTAGCATATGATTGAGAATTAGATATGTGTTGATCGAAATTTGTATCGGAAAAGATACAAATAAATCAAGATCCCCAGTAAATATGGAAATGTGCAAGTTCAATATCTCATAAATTTGAAATTATGTGTGGAATTTAGAATTTGCTTCATACATTCATAGGAAAGATGAAAAATTGGAAGAAAAAAAAACAACAATTACTTTTCCCTTTTTACACTGTCAAAGAAGAATAGTAGTATATATAATTATGAGAGCTTCACTACTTTAAGACTTTAAAATGCTATCATTTTGACCCCACTCTTCTCATTCTTAACCCTAAATGCACAGCTTATAAATCTAAGTGAATATACATATCAATATCTACATTGCTGCTCTTTCAGCTTTCATTTTCACACCAAATTCACCAACACATATCCTTTTTAAACCTTCACTTTACTTCCCAGTTACTAATAAAAACAAGTAGCAGAGTTCAGAGTAGAAAAAAGGTGCTCAACAGGTAACAAAGGAGATCATAGCTATGGATTTCCTATCTAAAATTGTGAAAAAATTCTCAAATTTCATGATCAATAATGTTGGGTATCTCATTTACTACAATAGAAACATCAAATTTCTGGATAAAGAATCTGATAAGCTGGAGATAATCAGAAATGAGGTGCAGCAAGAAGCAGAGGCTCCTATCTCATTTACTACAAGTCATTTCTCCCAGTGTTGAGGCTTGGTTAACTAGCGTTGATACCACTACTGCAGATGTGGCTACTACATTGCGACGTAGAGTTGAGGTTGAAAAAGGCTGTTTCTATTGTTGCTTGTCCAAACTTGAAGTACCATCGATGAATTACAAAGAACTGCACCAAGAAATATTCCGGGAGTGATTGAAAATGTGTATCAACCTCTGAAGGTATGCTATAATCACTTAGAAAGTGATGAAGCCAAGTACCTCTTTTTGCTTTGTTCCTTCTTCAAGGAAGATAGTGATATCTTGCCTGAACAATTACTAAGAAAAGGAATGGGGCTTGGCATCTGTTAGAAATAGGATGTGTCTTCTGTTAGAAACTTTGAAAGATCGTTTCTTGCTATCCCAAGGTTCAAACAGAAATTATGTCAAAATGCCTGATGTGATCTGTGACGTGGCTATATATATTGCTTCTGAGTGCAAGCATATTTTTATGGTACTTCACTTCTGAGATACTCCTCATTTTCTTTCAAGTAAATATTGTACTTACTAAGCTAGTGATCATGTTTGTTCTTTTGCATTCTCTGTTTCCTGCAGGAACAAAAAACTAGTGATGGCAATGAAGCCGAATCTAGTGAGTGCAGAAGCTAATGTCTCTGACTCCGAAGCTAGGAAGGTAATAAATAAGTACTCGATGAAATAGTTCAAATGTGTAAGTTTGCTTGAACATCACCTGATACCTATTCTGATGGAGTTAACAGGCAGAGGCGGATCTATGATGTTGTAACCTATGAGTTTATATGAGCACAATAGTTTTTACCCAGAGACTTTGTATATTAACTTGAGTTCATTGTAATATGTTGATGTATTTTCTCAATTCTATTTTGTTTTGAATGAAAAGTTACATATTATAGTAATATCTCGATGATCAGTGTGCATAATTTAGACTCTTTCGAAAATGTAAGCCACTAAAGACTTAATTAGTCTCTTTCACTAGAAGTAAATAGCTTTATTTAGACAAACTAAAATTCTACTGTACTATATTTGGTTAAAAAAGGATAAAAGAGAGTCTGTTGTCACAGAATCACACACTCTATTTCATTAATATTTTTTTTTTCTAGTTTTAAAGGAATTGGAGAACTTTATAATTAGTTAGTACACATATTAACCCTGAGGGGTAGCTCAGCTGGTAAAGGCCTGGGACAAAGTCCTTCAGGTCGCTGGTTCGAGCCCCAGCAGGGCCACTGGAGGCATTACAAACCGGCCGTGTCTCCAGGGCCCCGTGGAACTAACCGTGGTGGACCCGCCTTGAAACAGCGGGACCCGGTGGGTATAGCTAGTCGGGTTCGCAAAGCGACGCCCGGAAACCACGGTAAAAAAAATAAAAAAATAGTACACATATTCATTGACAATAAAACTTATATATATTTAATTATTTTTATTTCTTTCTTTGTAAAATATTTATTTTAATTTCTTTTCACTTTAAACTTTTTTTCTAATTAATTTATTATCTTTTCACTTTTAATTATTTTTACAAAATTATGTGTATTTTTTAAAAAAAAATAATTTAAAAGTGTCCTTTAATTTTAGCGTGTAAATTTTTTTATGTTTATTTGATTTTCTTCACTTTTTTTTTATATCCGTTCAAAATTAACTTATTTTAAATATAAGACATTTGAAATCAAATCAAAACAAAAGACAAAGAAAATAAAATCAATAGAAAAATAAAAGAGAAAAAACAATGAATGTAGGTAAAAAAAAAAGTTTCAATACAAGGTAAAAAACAATGTGTATTAATTAATTTAAATACAAGATTAAAAAAAATAAGATAATTTTTAAAAAAAATTGAAATATTTAATTCAAAAAAAATTAAGAAAAAAATATTATTTTTTTAAAAAAAATAAATTTTAATTAAAAAATAACATTTATACACGTGGCGGGCGAGTGTGTACAAACACAGCCAACTTGGGTAGTTGAAAGTGTCACATCAGCACAATTGATAATTAGGTCTGGATCGCAAATAAAACTCTCTAATATTTTACTCGGCCCAATAATTCCATATAAGTCAGTCTCAATCATAATTCCTAACACATCGTCCCGTACAAAGTCGACTTGATTCACAACATTCCTTCACTCCGCAATAGTAGTAGACTTACTAATATTCTCTGCTGAAGTTTTAATGGATAACATTAATTTCTAGCAGTTCGATAAATGGTTAACTGCTTTTCCCATACACTTTTCTGTTAAATTGATCGTGTATCTAATGATATTTCTGTCTGCCTTGTGTTTACATTCAATTTTTTGCATATAAGCAGTGTCCTAGTATATATGTCTAAAAATGATAAACTATATATTTCTGAATCGTTCCAAATTTATTGGATGTCCTCAAAGGGACAGGGATCTCGCGAGATTTGGGGATCAAATTACTGTAACTAATCCAACAAGTGATAATTCACTTCAATAAATTTGAGAGCGTTATTCATTGGGATGGAAAATACCAAAAGCTAACCATTACTTTCCCCTTTTTTCTTCTTTCTATGTCTGCCATTACCACTACTTTAAGACTTTTTAATTACTTTTAGCTGGTCCTTAATCTCTCTTTAGTCTTTATATATTGCCAATCTATTGAAGCAGTCGCATGGTTTGTGCTCATTGGTGGAGAAAATTAAGTAAATTTAAAAGGAAAGTGCTTTAGTGGCATAAAAGCAAGCAAGAGAGGTAGTTGAGAATATAAAATTTACAAGTTAGGTAAACAACAAACTTGTAAATGTTCGCAAGTATCGAGGTCTATCACAAATACAGATTGACAATGGTAGTAATTTAGCCATCACAATATTTATTCCTTTAATTCTACAACAAATCTATATGATAATACTAATTTATAACACTATAATATTACATTAATATATACAATTATTTAGCTGTCCATCATGTTAACAAAGGCCACACAAACCAGCCAAGAATTCAGAACATTTGTCTCTGTTCTGTCCAATTGTCACTACTTAAAGAACAAAGGCTTCTAGGATCATCAAAGCTCCAAGGAACCTAATGGAGTCATGTATGTTTTCTTGATTATGTACACAAACAGTGAAAATCGTGTAGTTTCACAATCCAAATGTAACGTTTACATATTATGATTACAGTATATGAATATTTAACTTCTTACAAGACATACCTAAATTTCCAAGAATTTGAAAAATAACAAAAAGTTGTTTTCACTTCAATAGAAGAGAACAAGGACTTCATCATGACTCACTTAATCAATTGGAGAGAAAATTCCAAAAGCAAACATATACTTTTACTTTTTAACATTTCTTTGTCTGCCATATGGAATGAGATTTTTGAAATGTTATCTAATCAAACACTCCCACTTTAATAATTCTCTCATTTTGAAAGGCCTTTTTTTTTTCTTTTTGGACACCTGATATCCGGTAGTTAAATACACTATAATTTATGTTTAATTCTTTTTATTGAATTAAAGTTAGATCAAACAGTTACTTAAATAGAGCTTTGTTATAATTTATTATGTGATTTTATAATTTTTTGAATA